TATTACATATTACAGTACAAAGGAATCAGGGTATAGGGTAGAGCAAGCCACAAGGTGCATGTGAAGCCCACTAGCCATACCATGGAGAGCCAGTTGCTTCATGGATTTGATCCCACACCAACTACTTTGAGGGCTGCCAAGTGACCATCTCAACAACTTGGAGGGATATTTTCATTTAAAATAGTAGAAAAATATGCAATTACACTACACCCAGCATATAGATAATAGCTTTTCTATGGATAGACAAAAATATGGGAAATAAATAAACCTATAAATCCAAGAAAAACTATAGAACTTTGCAAGAGATTTGAATATGTCCAATCTTATAAAACCTAAACTACTATTGAAAATCTAGAAAAAAAAAGCTAAGTTTCCTATCAACGAAGACACTTCAAACAACATCGCCGGAGTGAAAAATTATATCTTTCACTTTTCATAAACCTCAACAAATGAGATGAAACCCTTCACCATAATATGGTCCAAGGAATGGAATATCATCCTTAGACTGAATTGCATACTAGAAAGATCCTTCTTTCCTCCCTCCGCCCTTCTTTCCTCTGTTTTCTATTTCTTTTTCTTCTTTATTTTTGGGTGGGGGAGGGGAGGGTGGTTATTACTTATTGGGTGTATTCAAGAAAGCACAATCTGTAGTTAAATTTCCTACTTGGATTTCTGAGCCCTTTGGGCTATGGATTAAAAGCAAGGACTTATCATATATGGAGAACAATCAGGAGACAATCGGAGGAGGAATTTATGAATTTCATTGCTTTAACAATTTTCGTGTATTACATAGAAGACATAGGACTCAGGCATGGAGATAGAGTAAGGTGCATGTGAAAGATACTTATCTTCAAAAAAATAAATAACGATGTCTGAAATGCCAACAAAGTGTATGGGTTTTTAACATAATTTCAAATTTTCTTTTCGGTGGTTAAGCTAGAAATAATAGACATAATTAAATTCAGAAACCAGCACACAACCAAACACAAAGAGCGAAGTACTTACCTTGTTATCTTGCTTATCTCTTCGATATTTCTTCATACACTTACCCTGCATCTTCAGTAACTATTTATGGATATAACCAAACAAATCAATTTGTATTTTTGTATTTAACCTGAACTTGAAGTCATCTACATGAACTCTTCCCAATTCCACATCCCTAACTTCATATTTTATTTTCTCCTTAAAACTTCTGTATAATGCCCACTTATGAAATATTCAACGATGATCAAGTTATAAAGGGACAATTTGCAATTAATATATTAATAATTCTATCAAATAACAAGTGATACACTTCTTCTTACTTCAGATATTTGAACCAAGATTTTTTTAATCCTAAAAATGTATAATAGAATATAATGAATAAATTAACATATAAATCATAACTTCTAGAATATGCCTTCTACGACTTATCTGGTTTAAAGTGCATGTAAAAAGAATATGCCTTCTATTGATATATGTTGTAATGAAATCTATTGAGCTAGTTTTTCTCCTACCCAAAAAAGGGTTGGTTAATATAGATTAGAGTGGAAATCGAAAAGCCAGAAAAAAGAGATTCTCACTCAATAACATTGTGTCACTGCGAATAGAGAAGCTGCAAGACATCATTGGAGGAAGAGACATCAAGGGCTTCATAAGTTCATATTTTGCTTGGAAATGGTAGTGAAGCGTATGGATGTTGGTCAAGAGGAGACTAAGCAAGAGGCTGACATAGAGAAATGAACAAGGGGTGGAAAGTATTCTCAGAACTTCATTGAGTTAACCAACAACGCTAGAGAGAGAAATAAGTTATAGCAGTTCAGAAAGAGAGAGAAAGAAATAGAGACATGGATTCTTACCTGAGGTTGCTACCAATCGGTTTTAAGTTGGGATGTAAGCTCCGATCGAATGTAGAGTTGGCTTGAAGCACAATATAAATGATCTGCTTTCGACTATTGCTTGAAGCATGACATAGATGGTGTCGGTGGAGCTTCTGAAAGGAGAAAAGAGGTTTGGCGTGGGAGATAAAAAGGAAAAAAAAGGTTGAAAATAGAGTTTAGCGGGAGAGAGAAAAGAGGAAAACTATTAAATATATGAATTGATATGGGCTATTGCTACGGTTAACTAAAACTTGACCATGACAATATCATTAGTGGTGCATATGAGTCGATTAATGGTTACAGACAACTAAAATCCGTGGCTGCAAACAGTTTTGTAGCCACATATCAAGTGCCCATAGCTAAAGATTACTTACTGAAATAAATTGTAGCCATGGACATACGAAGTTTGTAGTTATATCTCATGTTTTAGCCACGGATTTTTATGTTCATAGCAAGATTGCAGTAGCTATATACCTATTTTCTTGTAGTGACTGAAATTATGAGATACCGGGATAGGGAAATCCACCTTCGAAGCTATGTTGAAGTTCCAAACATGGATAGTGATCCTTTGGAGAGGTAGGTAGATGCAAAGGGGAGATGGTTTAGATTTAGAAGGGACTTCCATCTACAGGTGAGTACATACCGTCCCATTCAAGAATGATCTGATGTAAGTTAGGGCTTTAAAAGAGCTAAATGGTGAAAAAGAAAATCGCAAATTGAAGCAGGGAGAGATGCTTTAGCTTTAGGGCTGAAAATGTAGCAAAGGATCAGCAAAAGTATTGAATAGAATGGCAAAACAAGATTGTAGATACCTGGTGTATGACTTTTTTGAGTACCCGAAATCTCCTCTAGGCGACTCTGGGTTTGGCTCATCACCTCCAACATGAATGAACAGGAACTTACAACAACTGAAATCAATAAAGAGAATGTCAGCGGTTCAGCATCTCCGGCAATGGCTACTAGATGGACTAGCAATGACAAATAATCATGTGAAAAAGCAAGGGAATTTCTTAAGAAAGCTTAAGAGTTTCAAATTTTATAGAAGAAATATATATCAACCCTTCACTGTAGTGCTAAAATCGAGAAAAAATGCATAGAACAATACAGTAAGAGGCTTTATTAAGAAAGTTAAATGAAAGAAAAATATTACCACAGGAGCGAGGTATGTAATGCTCTATTTGGTTTGTGGGATGTCGATGAGAAAAATGGAATATTTCAAAAATATTCCTTTTTCTCATATTTGTTTTGAGGGAAAGATGGGGATGGGATGCGAGATCCCAAAATCACGGATTCGAGGTCGCACAAAAATAGTTTGACCTCGGTGAGAAAACTCAAATTTCCATCTCCCTCCTCCCGTAAAACGACCACGCCGAAGGTCCCACGTGCATTAACAAAGAAATCCGACAATACAGTCCTATTCAATGGCACCAACGCAGCTGTCCGACACCAATGCCACCGCCAGCGTAGGGGAATCGACACAATGACCAAAATCCAAAGCAACTTCTCCATTCAGATAGAAGAAGTTGACACTGAATGGAAACTTACAAAGGAATCTGCTAGTACGCCACAGCCGCTCTCGTCATTTCTGGTTCTGTGGTGCTAGAGTAGTGGAGACGAAAAACGAAGAAGAAGAAGAAGAAGAAGAAGAAGAAGAGAGAGAAAGAGAGAGATTATAGAGGGGATGCGCAAATCTACTGCTGCTGCAACTTGTAGCAGCGGTGACGAAATGGAGCGAGAGAGAAAATGGGGGAAGAAGGGAAGAAGAAGGTCAGGGAGAGAGAGCGGGAGAGGGAGGCCGGAGATGGGTTCAGATCCGCCGCTTCTCTTCCTAGTCGCTGCTCTGTTCGATGGAGAGGAGGACGAGGGTGAATAGTGGGTTCCTTCGTAAACTTCTCCCCCTTTTTACATTTTCTCATCCCATTCCATCCCAATAAAATCAAACAATGGAAACTTAAATTTTTACACTTTTCCATCCCATCCCATCTTTTCCCGTCCCACCCAAATCTTCCCACAAACCAAATGGCGCCTAATGCTTCGACATCTTTAGAGAGAGACTAGCTCCAAGGGAGCAACAGCTCGCAACTCAGAGAGGGAAAGAGGCCTTTTAGCAAGTTTTTTCAAATTCCTGCAATACACGATAAGTAACTATGCTAGAATAGAAGAAGAAGAAGAAAGAACACTACTTGTTTGTTCGATTATTTGGCTACACTAGAAGAATTCTTGTGCGGGACAAGAGAGATTCGTGGTTTTAAGAAAATGAAAGGATTTTCGAGCATGGGAGATGAACCTTTTTCATGAGTTCTCTTTCATTAAATCTTAGTCGTTTGTTGTCATTTGATCCTGTTAAAAGAAAATCTTAATGTATTAAATAAAAAATATGTCTACAATAACAAATAGAAAACTGCCGCTGTAACCAATACACACTCTTGCAGCGGTTTTGGAGAATTGCTACTTAAAAAGGGTTATATAGCGATGCTGTCTCTTGTGCTTCTAAGAAATCCATTGGTATTTGCCCATGTTGTTGTAGTGCTTTTTTGAGAATCTACCCTACTTTTCTAGAATGGAGCCCTCACCTTCTATTCCTCTTTATTCTAATTTGGGTGATGTTTTTATTCCACTTTCAACCATTGAGGAGCCTCTTTGACCATTGATTCATAGAGTGTATTCTAGATGAGATCGAAAGTTTGCATAAGTTTCTATACTAGGTCCAACTCTAGCTTTTGATCCTCTACTAATGTCTTCACTATTGTCAGATCTCCTTAATCAAACCTTTATCTTTCCATTGCTCTTTGTAATGGTAAGTGTACTTTCAATAATCATCCTATTTCACATTATGTTTCCTTGGTTCATTTATCCCTTGCCCATCAGAAATTTGTTTCTCTCCTATATTTTGTTTCCATTCCCCATTCTATCTAGGAAGCTCTTGCCTCCCTTGACTAAAAGCATGCAGTGGATGAAGAATTCCAACCATACTTGGAACCTTACATCCTTGCCCCATGGGAAATGAACAATTTCGTTGTCAGTGGGTATATACAATCAAGCATCGATAAGATGGTAGTATTAAGAGGTTTAAAGCCCGATTGCTGGCCAAGGGCTATACGTACTACATAGACATATGATGTTGATTACTCAAAAACTCTTTCCCTTGTTTCCAAAATAGGCCAAGTCCGGGTGCTTATTTCCTTGGCTGCTTATTTTGATTGGCCACTTTTTCAACTTGATGTCAAGAATGCCTTCCTCAAATGTGATCTACAAGAGGAAGTGTACATGAAGCAACCTTTTGGGTATGTTGCTCAAGGGGAGGTAGGAAATGTGTGTAAACTACGAAAAGCTATCTATGGGCTAAAGCAATTTCCACAAACTAGGTTTGGCCACTTTAGTAGTGTGGTAAAGAAATTTGGCTTTAAACAATGTAGTGTTGATTGTTCTATTTTTAATAGAATTACTCCATTTGGGAAGATTATTCTAGTTGTGTATGTTGATGATATTGTTCTTACAGGTAGTGGTATACAAAGATTATTGAATTGAAAAGTTTTTAGTAACAACGTTTTCAAATCAAGGATCTAGGTTCCTAGAAGTACTTCTTGGGTATTAAAGTTGCCCATTCAAAGTGGGGAATCTCTCTATTACAAAGGAAGTATGTTTTAGATTTGTTTGATGAGATTGGGATATTAGGTGCCAAACCAATTGAGACATCCATGGATCCTAATGTGAAGATGATTGATTGTCAGGGAGAGTTGTTGAGCAACCTTGGAATGTATAGGAGGCTAGTTGGCAAACTTATTTACCTAACAATTACCCATCCTAATATCTCTTTTAGTGTAGGTGTGCTGAGCCAATTTATATACAAGCCTACAACTACTTACTAGAAAAGGTGATGCTAGAGTGTTGAGATACCTAAAAAGGTGCTCTGGGTCATCGTCTATTGTATAAGAAAAGGGGAGAATTATCCTTGGAAGGGTAATCAGATACAAATTGGGCAAGATTATTAATGAACATGAAGTCTACCACTAGTTATTGTACCTTCCTATGAGTCTAGTCACAAAAAAACAAGAAACATAGTGTAGTTGGCAAAAAATAGTGTTGAAGCTGAGTACAAGGCAATAGCATACCCCACTTGTGAATTAATTTGGTTAAAGCATGTCCTCTAGGAGATTGGCATTCCTATTAGCAAGCTAATCAATCTCTTTTGTTGAAGCTAAGTACAAGGCAATGGCATGCACCACTTGTGAATTAATTTGGTTAAATCATGTCATCTAGGAGATTGACATTCCTATTAGCAAGCTAATCAAGCTCTTCTGTGATAATTAAGCTACCACTCACATTGCTTCCAATCTAGTTTTTCATGAGAGGATTGCACCTTAAAGTTGATTGCCATTTTGTAAGAGAAATTGTAACAAGTGGAGATGTTGTTACACCATATGTGAGATCAAAAGATCAGCTAGTTGACTTATTCATTAAGAGTTTAAGTCATACCAAGATGAGTTATATTTGTAACATGCTTGAGCTTTATGATATATATATTCTCCAGGTTGAACGGGAGTGTTAAAGTCCAGTAGTAAGGGTATTTTTGTCTTTTCCTTATTTCTAATCTATTTGGTGTGTGCAACTTATGGAGGGCATTTTTGTAATTTTTTATTCTTATTAGAAGTTTAATATACTTGGTTGACACGAGGGAAAAGTTTAGTTTTGAATATACCATCTTAGATGACTATTTTCTTACTTTTCTTCTTCCTTCTCCTCTAGCTTCAAGCTTAACAGAACTAATTTCTTCACCTTTTTTCTTATGTATGTATGTATAATAATTGTGAAATACACCTCTAATAATTTAGACAACATAGAAAAGAGAAAAAAAGAAAAGAAGAAAGAGAAGTTTCAATAGAAGTTTGAAGAAGGAGATGAGAGAAAAGAAGGGAAGAGAAAAAGAGAAGAGTTTGGTTTCTTTTTCTCTAGCCCCTATAGATCTCTTTTATTTCTTTTAATTCTAATCTAAGTACAATTCCATGAGCCCTTAGTGGGGTGGGAACAACAAGATGTAAGAAATATGTTTACAAATACAATGGGTTGTACATTGCCACTTACCCTTTTTACAACAATGGGAAGGCCAAGGTCTGGAAAAGGGGATGTTGGTGGTGGAGATGTTAGACTTTTCCTCACTTCAGTGATTAGAAGCACATCAAACTCAACTAAAGATGTGGGAATAACCTGTGTTTGCCTTAGTCTTTGTCGTTGGTACCACTTTTGGAGAATATGATGAGTGGTAAAAATAGGAGGACTAATAAGAGGAGTGGGAGGAATAAGAATATGAGACTTAAAAGGAAACAAGCCCTCTATGGGAGTGGAAATAACTATGGAGGGCTCAATACAAGACTCAAGAACTTACAAGAGAAGGGATAAAGAAAACAGTTTAGGAGGATTCTCCCCCTCAAAAGGATGACTGTAAAAGGGAATTGACTTTGTAAAGGTAACATCCATGGAATCAAAACAATAGTACCCTTTCTGTGTTGAAGCATAGTCAAGGATGATACATTTCTAAGCCTTGGGTTCAAATTTATGTCTCTTAGAACTGGGAATGTGAACATAGTAAGTGCAACCAAAGACATGTAAAGTAATGGAGAAAACCTCAACACCAAGAAAGAAAGTATCAAAAGGAGACTTTTAACCCCAAGACTCGAGAAGGCATATGGTTAATAAGATAAGTGGCTTTTAAAATTGCATCACCCCAAAATTTTATAGGAACATGGGTAGCAAAAAGAATATTCTTTGTAACTTCCACAATATGTCTATTTTCCCTCTCGGCTACTCCATTTTATTGTAGAGTAAAGGCACAAGAACACTGATAAACAATCCCAAAATTTTCAAGGTAGGAGGTACGATTACTCTCAAAATATTCTTTAACATTGTTTGATCAAAATATTTTTATGTGGGTGTCAAACTGTGCAAGTATATATTCATGGAACTGTTGCATAAGTTTAGGCATTTCATGATGATAGTGCATAAGGTAGATCCAAGTATATTATGAAAAGTTATCAATAAACAATATAAAATACTTATAACCACCCATACAAGGTAAATGGTAAAACCCCTCCACTCATTAAAGTGAATAATATTAAAAGGAATAGTCGATCTTTTATTACTTGCGGGATAAGTGTTCTGACAATGCTTTGAGAACTCACAAGACTCATAGTGTAGACTCGATGGACTTATTCCTTTAAATAGTTTTGGAAATAACTGACTAAATGAAGAAAAAGACAAATGACTGAATTGACAATGACATAACATAATACAACTAATGGACTCTGAAACAAAAACAGTTCTCCGAGGTTGTACTTGGCTCTACTTAGGCATGTTTAATAGATATATTCGCCTCATGGCTACTCTCAATCACCTTCTAAGATTTCATGTCCTAAAAAACATAGTATAATGGGAAAAAAAATCACACTACAATTTAGGAATTTAGTTAAATTACTAATTGAAAGCAATTAGGTATTAAGTTTAGGTATATAAAGAACAAACGATAAGGTCAAGGCATGTGGGATTTTAATATCTCCCTTCCTGTGATAGGAGCAAGAAAGCCATCAACAAGAGATATTTTGTATTGGACAAAAAGGAATTGGTAAGAGGTGAATAAGTATAAAACATAATTCATGTGATTAGAAGAATCAATTATCCAAGGGATTTTATGAGTACCTAAAATAGTAGCATTTGTAGTGGCACGGATACTTGAGTGTGCATATGCAGAGGAAGGAAATGTCTCTGATGAAGTAGATGTTGTACTAGTAGGCTTCAAATGATTGATTATTCGGCCATACTTCTCATACTTAACCATGGCGGCTGCAAGTTGCTTTCTCATTAATTTCTCACCACTTTGTCCATGTTCACTCTATGAAGAGGTGATACATTTGCATTTCCACTTGTCTTAGATTATTCACATCATTCTTCAATTTATAGGCCCGAGAAACATTCAACTTTTGGGAATAACTAATTTTTCATATTAGTTAATGGAAATGGAATTGATACCTTCGGTTTTTTCAAAAATACCAAACTGATTGGTTTGATTAAACAATTTTTTTTGTTCAATTTCATTGGTTCAATTCAATTTTTGATGAACACACCTATCAAGAATGAAGAGAGAAGGATGAAGGTTCTTTTTTTTCATCGTTTCATTGAACTCTTATAAAACCTTAAGACAAATTAAGAATTCTATTACCCTATTGGTTTTCTATTTTACTCTTTTTTTATTTAACCCATAATTACCAAAGTAAATTTCCATATGTTTTAAGCTTTAATCATTTATTCTTGAGGTTTATGCCTTTCTACACCTTATGCCTTGATGCTTGAGTCTTATGCCTCTTTCTAACAAAGTTATGAGGCTTAATCCTTGAGGCAAAATTTGTGTTCCTCGCTGCAAGGTATAAGTCTTTTAAAACCATGTCTAAAGGTGTCAATTAGAAAATGACCTAATAATTGAGATGGCCACTTAGCACCCCTTTGAATATGAAGGTGTGGGATCAAACCCACACAGTTGCATGCTCTTTTGTTGTAAGACTAATGGACGTTGCACCCTTTTTTATCTCTACCTATTAATCCCCTATAATGTGTATTATGCAATACGAAGAATTATGTATTGCCATTGTCTTTGGTTCACTTTCATCATGGTTGGGGGTTGTGGTTTGTAGGATAGGCTACTCCATTTTGTGGAATGCTAGGGCCTATTAATTTTTTGTTAAGACATTTACCACTTACCCAAGTAAGTGTTTTTCAATTATTTTTACCCATAAAATGCAATTATTATAAAGGGCAATTTTATCCTACAATGTCTTGTCAGCTTTTTTCCCATGTGAGAAAGTTATTTACCCATTTGGGAGGTGGTTCCCGGGTAAGTGGTACCCATGAAAAAGTAATTTACCACAACACCCACAATTTACTTAAAAGTGAAACACCAAAAAGTTGGTCAATGGGGACCATTTTCCCATTGACCCACTTTCCCCTCCCATTTACTTAATAAAGGGTCCTTAAAGGCAAAGAAAGAAAATTTTCATCTAGTGAAGTGGGATTAGGTGCATGGACAAAATAGATGGGGAGCTTTGGGATAAGGAGAGGAAGGCTAGGCATTGTTGAGAAAGTGGTTTTGGAGATATGAAGTGCAAAGAAATTCTTTTTGGAAGAAAATAGTTGCTTATAAGTATTGTGTGGCGAATTGTGGGTGGGACTCAAAAGAAGTATCATCATAAGAGGCGTGTGTGTGGAAAGGAATAATGAATTTTTGGTTAGCATTTTTAAGTTTGTCTCTTTCAAAGTTGGGGATGAAGAAAATATATGGTTTTGGGAAGATAATTGGTTGGGCATTGGTAAATTTTGTGAATTGTATCGAAGACTATGTATCTTGATTGGGAATCAAAAATTCAGAAGAACACTATTTGATTGGTTGGTTTAAGAGTGTGTGAATATTTTAAAAAAATAACAATTGGAGTTGCAAGTAGAGAGAAAATGAGAAATAATGTGAAATGGTGGAAAGAAAGTTGGGGGTAAGTCCACAAATTATTATTAAGAAAAATTATTCAAAATGAACTGAAACTTCTCTTTTATTTTACAAAAAAGATTTAAACATGTTTTTTTAAATACAAACAGAAGTGTGTAACAACAAAAGAAAAGCCTTCTTACTCCTACAAGTAGATTGAACCAAATTAGCAATTCAAAGTCAAAAACTGCCTTCTTGTACACTAGAGGAACTACTTCCTTTGTCAATAGTGGTTTCTTCACTCAAGCCAAAAAAAGATCATCACCCTTTAGAGCCAAGTCATAAAAGTTTTGCAATGTTTGGGAGTGCTTATTGGGATAAGCACTTATCCCGAAAAGCAGCTAAAAAAGCTTGATTTGGTGTTTGGTAATACTTCAAAGAACTTTCCCTCAACTTTCTGCTTCTCTATTTATTTCTATCAAACCAAACTTACGTTTCTCTCTTCATTTCTATCAAACCAAACACATTATTCTCAAGATTTGAAGCCTATTTTGCTAAAGCGTGATAAGTGGGTTATGATCAACCACTTTGTGCAGAAATTAAAGCTTATATGAAGGTTAGGCAGATCTACAAGAAAGGCTATTACTCGTATACATACATAGATACATATACCTATCTATTTATTTATCTATTATATGCACGCACGAACACACACACACTACTAGGGATGTTCAGATTTGGTTTAAGTCAATTTGGTTCTGTTTATTTGGTTTTTGTTTTGGTAATTTTTAAAATACCACTTTTCCATTTTAGGTTAGGTTTGAGAAAAGATTTCAACCGAATTAACCAAAACAAATAAATATATTTATATTTTAATTATAACATTAATATTAATAATGGTATTAATATATATTTATATTTATATTAGTATATATAGTTTAATAGTAAATATTAATATAAACATAACATACATTTATATTTTAATAAACATAATTAACCAATTTAAAACCAAACTGAATCGTTTTCAATTCAATTCAGTTTTAAAGCCTAATGCAGTTCGATTCGGTTCGTTTCAGTTAGGTTCCATTTCTAAACCGAACTGAACCAACCGAATGAACATGGGATCCACTTTTGCAGATGGTGTTAACCGTTGGGAGAAGTGATTGTCCTTTGTTGTTTTTTTCCTCTGGATCTAGTAACACTATAACAGGTATTAAATTTCTGTGAACCATCATCATCCAAACGTAATCATAAGAACAAGCGCCTCCTACATGGCCTTTGCTCAATGCATTGTTGCAACGGGTCCCAGAAAAAAGATGAGAGGGGGGGGGGGATGATCACTAATTTATACTTTATAGTACCCAATCAAACTGTTGAACAAGCCATATATCAATGCAAGTATTGTTTTAAAAACAAATACAATCCAATCTTTTCTTTCTTCTGAATAGATAATAAAAACTGTCTGTCAAAAATGGAAACAAAGTACAAAAAGAAAAGAATCATAGACCATTAAATAGGTCAAGACCCATCAGATATTATAATAAATGAAAAAATACAAAGAAACCCCCAAAGACTCTGGAAGAACTAAAAACCAATCTTTACCTACTGTTTGAAACTCTGTATGAAACTAAGGTAGAAGCAGAAACCAGCAAAAGAAAATTCTTTATATGATCCTTATGGAATGTAAAATAATTCAAATAGCAATTCCTCAGCTCAACACAGAAAACTCTACTGCCAAACAGAAGACCCACGCTTCTTTATCTCCTTTGGTAAGTACAGAAATATGCAACCCACGTAGCACACAAATCTGCAGGCAGTAAACAAAGAAAAATATCTTACCAAGGAAATACTTCCCAAGATGAAGTTGACATTCTAGTTTAGATAACAAGGATAAAACTTCAAATGGAACAAAATCAAGAATAACTAATTGTTATCCTTTAGTCCCAAAATGGATGGGTGTGAAATGGTATAAATTAGAAATTTTTATGATCAGTAATATAGATTTTAACTGTTAGGAAGAACATCAAAGAAAGAAGCAAAATAATGCTGAGAGAGATTCTAAACAAGGATTAAGAAAATATGGAGCACCAAAGGACATGAAATACTGAATAGTAATCAAGAAATGTTCTGGCTTCTCAATGCAAGAGGTGAGAATGACTACTGGGAAATTTATTAGAGGCATCCAAAATCAACTTCATGCAAGGAAATCAAGAATATGATCAATGGCGTTGAAGCATTCACATTCCAAGTTAACAAATTTCCATAAATTAAAAAGAAAAGCAGATGAGAACTATGCACCTGTTCCAAGTGTACCTTTTCCAAAACTACAACCAAGTATCAAATAATGAATTCTTAACTTGCATTAAATGCTCGATTATCTATTGACTAATATAAAAAAATATGTTCTTAAAATACTTGCACAAAACCTAGAGAGAATGAATGTTACTGTGCTGACCTAAAAAGATGAAATAAAAAGAGAGGGAAGAAGAGAGAAGAGAAGGATAGGAAGCAAAGAGAGAAGAAGAGGGAGAACAGTCAAGAAACGTCAAACTAGACTCACCTCACTGTCAACCAGTATGTATTACTACTAATCATTAACAGCTGAAATTATAACAATGCCCCCGAACAAGTAAAACTGATATAGGATAGAAAATAAAACTAGAAAATGGCAAGTATACCCCTATTGACTAATTCTAACACTCCCCCTCAAGCTGGAGCATATATGTAATAAAGTTCCAGCTTGTTAGAAATATAATGCATCCTTGGATGACCCAAACTTTTGGTAAAAGATATTAGCTAGTTGGTCTTCTGACTTAACATAAGGAATAATAATATCTCCACTTGTCACTTCCTCTTTCACAAAATGACAATCAACTTCAATATGATTAGTTCTTTCATGAAACACTGGGTTGGAGGCAATTTGCATTGCAGCTTGATTGTCACAGAACAACTTAATGGGCTGACGAACTAAGATGCTTATTTCTTGAAGATGTTTAAGCCAAACCAACTCATAGGTAGCATGGGCCATTGCTCTGTATTCAGCATCAGCACTATTCCTAGCAACCACACTTTGCTTCTTGCTCTTCCAAATGACAAGATTCCCACACAAGAAGGTATAGTAACCTGTAGTAGACCTCCTATCCATTAGAAACCCTGCCCAATTTGCAACTAAAAACCCTTCAAGGGACAAATCTCCCCTTTTCTTATACAGCAACCCACGACTAGGAGAACCCTTTAGATACTTAAACACCCTCATAAGAACATGGTATTAGAACAGAGCAGAAACCTTGCTCTGATACCATTATGCTCTAATGTATTTTAAACACCCTTCTAGGGACAAATCTCCACACTAGAAACCCTACTCTGATACCACATAAGTGGTAATATACACACTTGTGGCGGAAAATTATTCTTGTTCTTTTCTCATGATGGATGTTTGATTTAGGACCAGAACACTGGGATGGTGAAAGGGAAGGGGCGTAGGTTGGGCCGTCTATTTGCATTGGAGTTCGAGAAGTCTCAAATAGTAGCATCATAAGCTTATTTCAGTTCTTCCACTAGTAGTTCCTTTCTGAGTCATAGAAATAATGTTTGGGACTTATGGCATAAACGTTTGGGTCATATACTGCTGAGAAATTAAAATTTTTGTTTGATTCAAGTCTTATTATGAACAGAGTTCCTTCCTTGTAGACCTTTGATACATCTTGTGTTTCTTGCTGTTTAAGTAAGAGTCGTACTTTACCTTTTCCTCACATGTCTGAGCAAGCTACCTCTCCCTTTGAGCTTATACATAGTGATGTCTAGACTACATCCGTCACTTCTTGACGAACGTACCAGGTACACGTGGATATACTTTCTCTACCACAAGTCAGAGGTGTTCCCAACATTTAAGTTGTTCTATGCTATGATACGGGTTTAGCTTTAATCACAAGTGCGTATTTTCCGTTCGGATTCAGGGGGAGAAAACACTAATGGAGACTTTTTATCCTATTTGAAGAATCATGGAAAACAAGTGCAACGAAGTTGTCCAGATACTCCTCAGTAGAATGGTGTGGCCGAGCGCAAGAATGGACATATCCTTAGTGTTGTGAGGACATTATTGCAAGAGTCCCATACCCCACCTTTTTGGGTAGAGGTAGCCAATACAATTGTGTTTTTTATCAACTATATTCCTTCCTCTATTCTTGGTAATGTCTCCCTTTCAAAAGTTGTTTGGTCATTCTCCAGACTTATCTATGTTTCATGTTTTTGGATGTGCGCGTTTTGTTCATCTTCCCTATCGTGTACGTTCTAAATTGTCTGCAGAGTCTGTCATGTGTGCCTTTATGGGTTACAGTCTTGACCACAAAGGATTTCTTTGTTATAATCTCTCTATTCATCGCATTCGTATATCACGTAATGCTGTTTTCCTTGAGCACATTTCCTTTTTTGTCAAAATTGCTAGACTATCTACGCCGCCTATTTCCGTTTTGCCAAACTTTTATTCATAGGATGCTCCACCTCCTTCTATTGAGAAGGATCTTCTTGTCTTCTCTCGCAAGCGGTTACGTGCTCCAGTCCCTGTGCCTGCAACTCTCCTTCCTCCCGGTTCAGATCATCATCTTACCACTGCTTCTGTAAGTGATACCTCTATTCCAGACATGGTTTCAAATGTCGCGAAATGTCGCTAATGTTGCCTGACATATGTCGATGTCGAGGCTCGCCGACATGAAAATGGATGGTAATATAAAAATTACATTATTTCGGTCGACATTTCCTATATTTCGGAAATGTCGACCAAATTGGTCCAAATAACCAAAAAAGAAAGTTTTTCCTATTATGTCGATAGGATGTTGATAATGTCGACAGGATGTCGACTAATGTACATTAATAATATAATATATTAGTATATTATATTATTATAATACAGTATATTAATATAAATTATTCCATTAATAACTTCTATTTAATATTTCAAATAAAATATTTATAAAAATAATTAACAAAATATAAAAACAAAAGAATAAATTAATTACTTTATAATATAAACCATAAAACATTTTTCAAGTAATAAAATATTAACTAGTTGGTATTTTTTAAAATATTTATTATAATCAGAAAATGTTTATTAAATTTTATAATAAATCATATTCTACATTAATATAAAAAATCAGAATAAATTTATTAAATTTTATACTAAATCATAATTTATTATTTATCATATTCTTAATACTACCAAAAGGAGAAGCAGTTCATTAAATTTATAATAAAACATAATGTCTTATAACTTTAATATTTAAAAAATCAGAATAAATGTATTTTTATTTACTAGTGTGAAATAAATATATTAAAATTTATAATAAATCAGAATTAAAAATAAGAAAAGAAAATATCAGATAACCTTGTAAAAACATCAAGATGCATAATAAATCAGAAAATCGTCATTTACTAATTTGTTATTGATCTTAGTTTCTTAGCTTTATATAATGGTTGGGAATAAGATAATAGTCTAGAAATATATTGTAATGCTTCTTTTATCATTTTACAAAATATCATTGCGTATTTCCACATATTTCATAATATTTCCACAATGTCTCTAATTTTTACAATATTTCCCCTTGACATTTCCAACATTTCCGACATATGTCCTATATTTTGGTAAGTGACATTTCCATTGACATCGACATTTTAAACCTTGATTCTAGATACTCATACTTCTGTTCCTCTTCGTCATTCTACTCATATCTAGACCTCCTGACTGCTATGGTTTTCCTTTAAACCATAGCTCTTTGTCTGATGTTCTATCTTCCATAGATATTCCTCGCTCCTACCAGGAAGCCAGTAATAGCCCTCATTGGAAGGAAGCCATGGATGCAGAGATTCATGCTTTACATGAGAATGACACTTGGGACCTTGTGCCTGCTCCTCTAGATGCATCTATTGTTGGGAGTCATTGGGTTTACAACATTAAGCTGAAATCTTATGGATCTCTTGATCGATATACAAGGCAAGTTTAGTTGCCCAAGGATATAGTCAGGAGTATAGTATCGACTACGAAGAAACCTTTGCTCCTGTTGCAAAGATCACCATAGTCCATGTTCTTTTAGCATTGTTTGCTGCTTAATCTTAGACCATATGCTAGCTTGATGTGAAGAATGCCTTTCTCCATGGTTAGTTGAAGTAAACGGTCTACATGAAGCCCCCTCCTAGATATTGCAGTGATACTTCTTTAGTATGTCACCTCAAAAAATCTCTATATGGTCTAAAACAAGCTCCACGGGCATGGTTTGAACACTTACGAGATGTAGTTGTTGTTGGATATAGCCAGAGTTACTTCTGATCACTCTCTTTGTTAGGCAACGGCCTCAAGGCGTTACCATTCTCCTGCTATATGTTGATGACATGTTGTTGATTGGGAATGATGTTGAGGGTATTCGTGAATTGAAATTGTAACTTCAGAATTCCTTTCACATGAAGGACTTGGGCCCTCTCACCTATTTCCTAGGATTGAAAGTTCATCGTAGTGATCGAGGGTATTTTGTTTGTCAGCAGAAATATGCCTCTAACCTTGTTAAACTTGCTGGTCTTAATGATGAGAAGCATGTTGATACACCTATGGAGCTAAATCATAAGCTATCTAAATCTGGAGGTCCATTACTTCTCGATGCTACGTTGTACCACCAGCTTGTGGGGTCCCTCATTTATCTCACTATGACTCGGCCTGACAATTCTCATGCTGTTTAGGTTGTTAGTCAATTTATTTCTGCTCCTTGTCAGCCTCATATCACTGTTGTTCATCGCATCATTTGATATGTTAGAAGCACAGCT